GACCCCTTGCCTGGCACTGGGCATTAACCGCCTGTGCGTGTGGTAGGGGTGGGAGGTGTTAGCTGGGCATGGAAGTTTAGGACAGGAAGTGAAGGCAGCTCCTGTGTCCAGTGCAAGGCATAGCACTTCCTATCTCATCAGGGCCATGATTTTTCTCATGTCCCCCTGCTCTTCTCCACTTCTCTTCTGCACCATCAGGAACACCCAGTGGGGCCCCCACCCCCAGCAGTTGGGAGGGGTTCCCCATTTGGGAGACCTGCCTGGTGGCTACAGAGGGTGGACTGTGACAGATGGAGGGGCCACTGAGCAGGCACAGCACGGCTGACTGTCTCCTGGGTGGCACCAGTCCTGTTCTGCAGCTGGGGAAACTGAGGCAGGGTAGCACGAAAGTGACTGGACTGGGGATTAAACAGAGTGAAGGATGGGAAGGAACCAGGCCCCCGTTCCTGGCCTGTGACCTGCACACCCCAGCACAGGAAGCCAGAGGATAGCCGGGGGGGCACCCGCTGGCCAGCCCCAGCACTCACACTGCTTGAAGAAGTCCTCCCCGTAGCTCTGCCGGGCCTCCGGTGTCATCTGGTCCCACAGCTGCTGCAACGATGCCTCGATGGTGTCCAGGCTGGTCACGGCCGTTTTGAAGAACCCGGGTTCCACGATGGAGACCCGCACGCCGAAGTGGTACATGTCCCGCCTGCGGAGCACAGGAGTGAGTGGGCCTGCTGGGACACGCCCCCGGCCCTGCGACAGCCAAACCCAGGGTGTTAACTCTGTGGCCAGAGCAGAGAGCCAACTCTCCGGAGGGGCATGATGAAGTGGGGACTCTGTTGGCTCCGTCGTGTTGCATGGGATTTCTACTGTCCTGTAATAACCCCAGATATGTGTGTGCCTCAGTTTCCCTGGCCACTGCACCAGTACCTAGATGGGGATGGGAATTTCGAGTTAGACTCCCATTGAGGGACACAGTGGCTGATGCTTCCTGTAACCTGAGCCTGGGAGGGGAGCATGACCAGGTGACCTGCTGCTCACAAACAGGGTGGATCTAGTAGGGGAAGTGGATGTGGGTGGCAACCTGGATAACAATGACCATGAGACGGTTGAGCAAAGGAAGAAAGGAGAGCAGCAAAATATACACCCTGGACTTCAGAAAAGCAGACTTTGACTTCCTCAGAGAACTGATGGGCAGGATCCCCTGGGATGCTAACATGACGGGGAAAGGAGTCCAGGAGGTCTGGCAGTATTTTAAACAAGCCTTATTGAAGACACAGGAACAAACCATCCCGATGCGCAGCAAGAAGAGCAAATATGGTAGGCGACCAGCTTGGCTTAGCAGGGAAATCCTTGGTGAGCTTAAACACATAAAGGGAGCTTACAAGAAGTGGAAACTTGGCCAGGTGGCCAGGGAGGAGTATAAATATGTTGCTCGAGCATGCAGGGGAGCGATCAGGAAGGCCAAAGCGCAATTGGAATTGCGACTGGCAAAGGATGTGAAGGGGAACAAGAAAGGTTTTTACAGGCATGTTAGCAATAAGAGGGTGATCAGAGAGGATGTGGGGCCCTTACTGGAGGAGGGAGGTAACCTAGTGACAGATGATGTGGGAAAAGCTGAAGTACTCGATGCTTTCTTTGCCTCTGTCTTCACAGACAAGGTCAGCTCCCAGACTCCTGCACTAGGCAACGCAGCTTGGGAAGGAGATGGGCAGTCCTGGGTGGAGAAGGAACAGGTTAAGAACTATTTAGAAAATCTGGACACACACAAATCCATGGGTCCGGATTTAATGCATCCAAGGTTACTGAGGGAGTTGGTAGATGTCATTGCAGAGCCTTTGGCCATTATCTTTGAAAATGCGTGAAGACCGGGAGAGATCCCGGACAATTGGAAAAAGGCAAATGCAGTGCCCATCTTTAAAAAGAGAAGACAGACAATTCAGGGAATGACAGACCAGTCAGCCTCACCTCGGTCCCTGGAAAAATCAGGGAGGAGATCCTCAAGGAATCCATTTTGAGGCACTTGGAAGAGGGGAAAGCGATTAGGATGGATTCACCAAGGGCAAGTCATGCTTGACCAATCTAATCAGCTTCTATGATGAGGTAACTGGCTCTGTGGACATGGGGAAGCCAGTGGATGTGATATACCTTGACTTTAGCAAAGTTTTTGATACAGTCTCCTACAGTATTTTTGCCAGCAAGTTAAGGAAGTATGTATTGGATAAATGGACTGTAAGGTGGATAGAAAGCTGGCTAGACTGTCGGGCCCAATAGTGATCAACAGTTTCATGTCTGATTGGCGGTCAGTTTCAAGGGAAGTGCTCCAAGGATCAGTTCTAGGGCCGGTTCAACATCTTTATTAATGACCTGGATGAGGGGGATGGATTGCACCCTCAGCAAGTTTGCAGATGACACTAAGCTAGGGAGAGAGGTAGCTACACTGTTACAGGCTGGGGACCGGCTGGCTATGCAGCAGTTCAGCAGAAAAAGACCTGGGGATTCCAGTGGATGAGAAACTGGATATGAATCAACAGTGTGTCCAAGAAGGCTAATGGCATATTAGGGTGTGTTAGGAGGAGCATTGCCAGTAGATCTAGAGAAGTGATTATTCCCCTTTATTCAGTATTGCATCCAGTTCTGGCTCCCCCCACTATAGAAAGGATGTGGACGCAGTGGGGAGAGTCCAGTAGAGGGCACCCACAATGATGAGGGGGCTGGAGCACATGACCTACATGGAGACGCTGAGGGATTTGGGCTTGTTTAGTCTCCTGAAGAAGGTTCCAAAGAGGATGGAGAGAGGCTGGTCTCAGTGGTGACAGGTGACAGTATGAGGAGCAATGGCCTCAAGTTGCAGAGGGGGTGGTCTAGGTTGGAGATTAGGAAAAGCTATTTCCCTAGGTGGGAGGGGAAGCACTGGGCTGCGTTCCCTAGGGACGGGGTGGACTCTCCATCCCTAGAGGTGTTTAAGTCCCGGCTTGACACAACCTTGGCTGGGATGGTTTAGTTGGGTTGGTCCTGCTTTGGGCAGGGGGTTGGACTTGGTGACCTCCTGAGGGCCGTGCCAGCCCTAGGACTCTCTGACACCATTCCTCCAGGACACTGGACCAAGGAGGAGGCAGGGCTGGCTGCCGGGCAGGGACCGGTGAGTGTGAGGTAGCCTGGGCTGGTTTAGGATACAGGGAGGTGGCCCAAGCTGGGTTGTACTGACAACCCCTGGTTCCTGCACTGACAAGTCTGTTCTATGCTGCATCCCCGCGGACTAAGAAACCTTCTCTTCTACCTGCCGTCCGAGAGTCCCATCTGGCTGTGGAGGGGGTGCAGGGCCCAGTGACTCCCCACACCTTGGTGACAGGGTGCCACAACAAGGAAGGGTAGAGGGCAGGGTTATAAGCCAGGAGTCCTGGCTCCCGGCTCCCCCTGCTCTGTCTATTGAACCCCACAGCGAAGGTGGGAATCCAGCAGTCTTGGCTCCCAGCTGGTCCCGCAGCAAGGCATGGGGGGTAACCATGGTCTGTTCTTAGGGGGCACCTCCCTGCGCCCCAGGCCAGGGGCAGGGTGGGGCTCACCGCAGGCTGTCGGAGAAGGCCTCCACGGTGTACTTGGAGACGCAGTAGCCGCCCCCGTTGGCCGAGAGCCGCCCCAGCACGCTGGACGTGTTGACCACGCGGCCCCGCGCCCGCTTCAGCAGCGGCAGGAAGGCCAGGGTGACCTCGATGAGG